AAAAAAGTTTAGCATATCAACAATTGTTGGAAAATACCTGTTCCATGTTATGTGTAAGACATTTGATATTCAGACAGATAGTGATGTTAAGCTCAACTGCCTATGTTAGAGGGTAACAATATCATTAACTTTCTGTTCTGCAGTGTTAACAACTTAAGTTTGCAGACCAAAAAATTAGAGAAAAAGAAAGGCTATAAGGATAGCCAACATTTTGGCCCAGCCCTTCAACAGAGTTTGGGCTCTTAATAAATCTGAGGCTTTGCCAGATGAAGGCTGGAAGTGATGTCCTGCGTGCATGTCCTGACATTGTGCCCCACACCCCCTAGTCTAGGGTGAGTGTGGAGCAGAGGTGGGCATCTGATGTGGAAGCTGGGTGCATGGGGGTGTGTACTTCATATTGGCTAAAAACACTGGCCTTGATACCACCTTTGAACTCTTACCTGGTTGGCAAATCTTGGCTTTCCCTTGATTTTTCTTGAGTTTCCTAAACTCCTCTGGTACACAGGAGAGTCTGGGGATATAGTGTGGCTTGGAACAGAAGTGGCTTTTAATAAAGAGCAAGCTGGCAAATACAATAAAATAAAACCCTTCACCAGACTATCTTCACTGGGGACTAATGATGCCAGGTCAAGCTGGGAATGAAAGGAGATCTCAGGTGATCCTCAAGCCCCACTCTGCACGGTGTGGACCCATGTCGGTATCCTGAGGGAGCCAGGCGGTTCCGGCTCCTGCTTACCAGTGGGTGCCCGCTTCCAAGTGAGTGAGTGTGCAGGCTGTGCCGTGCTGCCGAGGTGGGAGGGATGCAGGTGGGGTGCTGGTGGGGGCCTGGGCTACTGGAAGATCTCTCATCCAGTCTCAGCCCTTGTTTCTCTGGGAGAGTTCTTGCCTGCTTTCCCCACCCAAGGAGCTGCAGGGGCCCATGTTGCTTTTGCAGGAGGCTTCGGGGCTCTGGAGAGATCTGGGAGCCTCTGCCCAGCTTCAGGTCTAGCCTGGCCCAGGTCAGCACTCAGTGGGCTCAGGGCCTCTTTCCAGTGCAGAAACCGGGATGGGGCTGTTTGTCCCAGTCTTCCCGAGACACCCTGTGCCCAACGAGTGCTGCTGGCTCAGCGGAGAGAGCTCAGATAGGACTGTGGTTGCTTGTACTCATCCTCCTAGACTCTGTGCTGTTCCAAGCCCCAGCCTGACCCCACCACTTCTCCCTGAACCTGAGGACAAATAGAGGGGCTCCTCCCCACCTCTACTCTCCCTAGCCTCCTTGGGATCAAGCCCAGTATGAGCAAGGTTGAAAGTACAGCATTTGGAGTAGACCCTTACATTAACCTCTCTATTCCCTGAGGGACTTCACTCAGGTGTTCTCTGGGTGCTGGGCGAGTCCCCTGCCTTGGCATGGGAGACTCTGCATGTGAAGTATGTGTGTGCACTTGAGGGGCCTGACAGCGAAAGGCAGTGATGCACCCATTGTAGGGCAGGATTTGAAAATTGCAGAATGAAGGGGCGACCACAGGGGCCTCTGGAAGGAGACTCAGCATCAGTGTGTTTGGCACTGGGCAGGCACCCTGCGGGTTCTTAACCTGCCTGGAGATTCTTCAGAACCTAGCTCAGCCCTCACTTTCCCCCTGAGTTTCCTCCCATCTGGCCTCAGGGTGCACAACATCTCCTGAGGATGTCGTACCTTCTGTACTTGTCCCCTCCCAGGTACTTCCCAAGGCTAGCAGGTGGCAGCCTGAGACCACGTGGGGCTGAAGCTAGTAGGGAGACTAGTGAGGAAGGCAGTCAGATAAGTAGCAGTGAGATGCTGCGAGAAGTGCTGGCAGGAGGGCCAGGGATATAGCTCAGTGGCACAGTGCCTTCCCAGAAGTGCTGGGAACAGCACCGTGTAAGTGCCCGCTGTGTGCCAGCTCCTTGACTTCTCACAGCTCTGGGAGGCCGACAATGCCACTGTGCCCATATTAAGGAGAAGTTGAGGCAGACAGGTAGCCTTCCCAAGGCCACAAGACTAATCAGCGGCACTGTGGAGCTCGAACTCAGACTGTCTGGGGAGAGGGACTTGTGAGAGAACAGCGAGGGAGGTTGGGCAGAGCTCCTAAGCAGTGAGCTAGGCTAAGAGGAGGAGAAGGGAGCTTGGGATCTCTGGAGGAGGAGCGTTTCCACCAGAGGGGCCGGCCTGCTTATGCACCTGGGCTGCTGAAAGGAGCCCATGTGGCTTGGAGAGGCCTGAGCCTGGGCAGGACAGCTGCGGGGACGGCAAAGTCTGGGGTGTGGGGGCTCTGGGATTTGCCATCTTTGAGCTCCTTGGGGGACTCCATGTTCTCAGGCTTGGTGCAGTGTGTAGTCCCTGCCTCTTCTTCTCTGTGTGGACAGCGTGATGAGGAGCCCTGTTACACTCCTGGGCTCCTCCCCACAGGACTGGGAAGAGGACCAGCCTCTGGGGCAGCTGCGCAGGGAGACACGAGATAAGGTGCCTGGGCTCCCACAGCTGGGGAGAGACTCAGAGCTTCTGCAGTGCTTGTCTTAGCCAGGGAGACAGCTGGAACCCAGATGTGTACCCAGTGAGTGGCCTTGGGTCTCATTTGGACCC